AGAACACAACAGATTGTGAAACTTTACCTTAATACCCATAAGGAAGGCACAAAAACTTCATCAAAACAGACCATAAACACAGCTCCTCAAACTTTCAGTTCCCAGCCAGCCACCAGCCCTTTCTTGTATCCCATGAATTAATCCCCTCAGCAGAAGCAAACAGAAGACTGTAGGCCCCTAACACCAGCCCTTTTCTTATGTTTGTATATCCAGCAGCAAACTCAGTCTGATTCTTTGAATTCCAGATTCTAAACCTCATCTTCTCTCTCACCCTTACAGTATCTGGAGATGAAACTAAGGCCCTGTTCCTGTAGCAGAACAGAAAAATACAGATGCTTGTCACTGTTGACACCAGTACCCTTCCTAGCTCTGCAGGCCTTGCAAAAAAATCAGTTCATCCAACATCCATACTCCTAACCAGAGAACCCACCCACTGAATAGGAAGACAGAGTTGATCATTATTGATATCAGCACGCTGCAGTTTTTGCAACTTCAGTAATGACTCAGTTCTTTAGGCTTTAGATCTCCGAAGTCTGTCCCTAATTGCTACCTTAATTATAACTGTAAAACTCACGTCTATAACAACAAAAAACCCGCCATAAATAACTGTCCCTCATTGACATCCGCCCTCTTCCTAATACTGAGGGCTGTGCAGCATGCAGTAACAGTACCAGTTCCTCAATATTTGGGTTCCTAACCCTAACTGTTACCTTGTTATGCATGCCTGTGGACCCCAGTCTCCTAATGTTCTTGGGCAGCAGCATGTGGTAAATAATATGGATCTTCATGCACATTGGTCATACCCATATCCTCCCTACAGAAGAACAGAAAATAAAGGGTCTTCAAATATTGCCAGCAGCAATTTATGTTCTTCAAGATCTACAAGTCCAAACCCTACAGCTAACCCTACTCCTCATTCTAACCTTCATCGTAGTAGTAACAAATGGCTCATACTTTCAAGAAAATAGAGAATACTTTGACCCGCACCTCGTCAGGCCCTGCGGAGCCCTGCAATGAAGGCAGCTTTCAGCGGTAAGGTTGGTTCCTGCCATCCCCAACGCTACTGTAAACTGAACCCTGACAGTTTCTCTACTTACAACCTCATTTCTGTTGTAGCTTATAAAGCACTGGCTGCAACTGACATAAGCTTTCTTCCTAAGTGCAGTCCTTACAAGCTCCTGCAATAACCCAGGTCCTTCAGGCTTTGAACTCCCCGTCCTGGCTCGAGCTGTAGCATCAGCATAATTATATCCGCAATACCATGCCTTCAGAGAATGATAATGTAAAGCATGGCTCCTATGTAAGACCCACTGATGTCCTAAATCTGCAGCCCTAGAGCATTCAGCAATAATCATAGTTCCCTAAGGTTCAGCTTTCTGAATCTTAACCATGATCTTTACTTTAATCAAGGAATTAATCTCTACAGCTAAAGAACATAAAAGGTATTGACGCTCTCACTCTTATCTCCATGAGCCCTGTAGTCTCTTCATTCCCTTCAGATTGCTGTAGGGGATATAGCAATATAATTCTGCTTTGAAGATCCAGTTAGATGGCATTCTTTTCCTTGCCTAAATGTTTGTGAATTACCTTCCCACTCAGAGTTTTCATCGGTTCTTGGTTATTGGCAGGGGGGTCTGTTGGCACTGGAATCTTCTTCCTTTTCCGCAGACCTTGTGACTTTAAGCCTTCCTTCAGCCCAGCTATTTATTACCCCAGGCACCTCTCTGAGGTCTCACTAAGACCAAAGTTCTGCCTGATACTACACCCACAATCCCTCCTCCCTCCTGTATCCTAAATTTGACAGTAACGCACAGCTCAGGTCTTTCATGCACCTTCTTTCAGAAGAGATCCCAAACCTGACACATTCCTTCCCAGAGTCTCAGGCCAAGTGTCCCTAGCAGCCCTGTCTCCTTTGTTGAGCTTTGAGACTGTTAAGCGTGTAGGAAAGTGTAGTCTTGCGTCTTGCTTCGAAATAAAATTAATGTGGTACCAATTCACCCAGTTTTGTGCTGTTGGGTAGCTTAAACTGGCAACAGCTCGCAAAGCGGCAAGTTGCAAGCAAAGCTACATTTAAAAAGTTTTTCTGAGAGAACAGTATCTGCTCTTTATCTTTTTTTTTTTTTTTTTTCAAATTCTTCTCCTTCCTTGGTAACAGTATCTGCACTCATGCTCTTTGTTTATCTTTTTTTTCAAATTCTTCTCCTTCATCGGTAACTTCTATATCCTTGTCCAATTCCAATGATATTTGACAGCGGGACACAGATAATTAAGTTTCACAACAACTGGTCTCTGGGTAGAGGAGCCCCAAATTGGTGTCTCAGTTGAGGAAATCCTTCAGCAGTTCCCTGTTCGGTGTTGCCTGCCAGCTGCCTTTTCAGTACACGTGTGCTTTGGAGCCAGACACAGCACATGCTGCCTTGTCTCCAGCGCAGAAACAATTCCTTCGCTCAGTTGCCCCAGCAGGCTCGAAATATTTAAACCTGACAGCAATGAGTCTTGCAAAGACAGAGGCATTAAGAGATTTCAGCTGTTCCACAGCACTTAGGAAAGTCACTGCCTTACAAACCATTAACTTCATGTGATGTTTTACTAATCGTGGCTAAGACACTTCTGCTTTATGGGAGGCAAGTCGTCTCACCCCAGTAGCTCCAGGGACCAGCCGTAAGGGGGTGCAGAGTCGCCCCCATCACACCAGATGGGGCTAGCTGAATGGCAGATGGGACTCACGGGTGGATGCCTGCAGTAGGGGACAGCTGCTGCACCCGCAGCACTCCACCGGCAGCTGTCAGGGAACGAGGTGCCTGCCGAACATCTGGCTGCAGCCAGGCTCCAGTGCAGTCAGACACAAGTATCTCACCTGCTTGCAGAGGAGCAGAGCTGCGTCCCACTCAAGATGAAATGACCTAGCAGGGAAGTTACATCAGCTCAAACACAGCCTCCTGGGGCACCTCTCAAAGGACTCTTACTACCCTCTAGTAGTGCCTCATGGGAGATAAGTCATCACACTCTTGCTGAGTGCTTTGAAGCAAAGGGAGGATTTGGTGTGATCCAGTCAGACCCATTTTTTTTCCTGTGTACTGGAGTACAGGCTTCCATTAAGATAAATACACTTTTTCTTCTGTTTTAGCAGTCAGTTTTGCAGAGAAATTCTGCTGCCTCTTTACTTCCTTGAATGGTGAATCTGAAACAGAGATGATTGAATCTCAGAGGTGCTCAGCCCTAGCTGCAGCGGTGATGGCCACAGTGTCTGACATAAGAGATGAAGTGTGTGCGGCACAAGGTGGCACTAACGAGGTATGGAGGGGACAGGGCCCTTTTATCTCCATGCTCAGTGTGCCCGAGGATGCTGGACATCGGTTCATCAGTTAGCCCAGACAAACATGCACAGTTTATTAGATATTTGTGTTTTAAGATGCAGAATCATACTCTTCCCTCAGTACAACAGATTAGAAACTTCTGCTCTCCAAGGACACTAAGCATGGGCATTTCTGAACTCACTGCTTTGTACTGTCATAGAAACCTTAGGATGGTACATGTGTTGAAGATCCTAGACTGTAAGACATGTTAAAGCTACCAGTAGAGGGAAAGGGAGAAGCAGAAGCAGAATGGCATGCTTGCCTTCCTACAAAAAATTAAAAAAACCCCAGTACTAAAATACTGTTCCTGCCTTGAAAAAATAACTCATTACTGAACTGACAAGAAAAAAATAAAGAAAATCATTGTTAGTCAAATATCTGCGTTCAAGGCAGTGGAAAAGTGCTCTGATGGCATTGATTCTGGGATATTGATTGGACTGATATTGTGATTCATTGCTTGCTTGAAGTTCTACACAGATGTGGCTGAGGGTGGTCGCAGAAAGTAAATGTGTGCCTAGGCTTGGCTGTGGTAGTATGGGCATCCAAGTGCCGAGCTGAAACTGCTGACATTCAGTAAAACTGCTCTAAGTTTTCCAAGTACGAAAGTTTCCAGCAATGTCAGGATGGTAATTAGCAATTGATTTTCATTTGGCAGCTTGCCATGTGGTCAGAGTGACAGACACCAGAACTTTTTAACACATTTAATGGGATTTTTCCTTCCATTTACACTATCATAAATTACAAAGCATATTTCACTTCACAAAATAAAACCATTTCCAGATCATTTTTATGACAGTATTAAGTAGTACATAACCTACAACAAATAGTCCTGTACAAGGCAGGAGGATCTATGGAAGTATTGGGAACTCAGACTATTTAGCATTTGCTCTTCAATCTGGGTTAATCTATCTAGCCCTTAGTTATTTCTCTAGAAGACGACAAATTTACAGTCATACCCTCCATCTCCCTTCATTATCTAGTTACACATATTTTTCAATTTGAATAGAAACATGTGCTCCCTGAAATAATTCAGGAAACTGCATCACTGAGTTACCAAGCATATGATACCAACGATCAAGATGAGGGATTACTTTTTTTTTTTGTTCTGAAAATTGAGTTTGGTAGTAAAGTATGTTGATTTTCTATGCTTGCAGAAACATCTCATGCTGAGAAACAGTTTTAACATTAGGAATAAGTTGCAGTTAGACTATGAACTCTGTAGGTCAATATTTGTGAGGGGAGAAAAATATTAAAATTTGGTAATAATTAAATTTACCAACTCCCACATTTCCTACACATTCTTTTTTTTTTTTTTTTAACAAACCATCAGGAAACACATTCAAGATAAATACCTACATTTTTAGCAGATTTACTGTACGTTTATAAATACAGAAACATGACAAAACATAATTCAATTTTTACAGAAAACCCAAATCCTTCATAATGAACCCAAAAAAGTGCTAACTTTTCAACAAGGCCAGAAAATATCCAGTGTCCCAGCATCCAAGAAAAATCTGGCATGTGAAACTGATACTACTACCAGGACTTTTGAAAAAATTCTCCATACCATATTTCACATGGGAGTAAAAAAAAAAAAAGAGACAATAGTAAAAATAGTATATGTTTTGGGAAATAGCAAATGGCTAAAAGTATACAATCTTAGGATACTAGTGCCTAAATGCAAAGAAACCTAAGGAAAGCTGGAATACACACAAGAAAAGAATTCTCCTTTAAAACACTTGCAATGAAAGAGGTATGTCAGGATAATACTGCATTAGTGGTAATTGTTTTCAATATATCATAGCAAAAATGCAGGAAAGAATTAAGTGGAAAATAATCAATGCACCGCATTGATTTATAGTTTGCTAAAATAAAATGCCATTCTTTCAGCTAGGTAAAGTAAAAATATCTTTATAATATAGGTTCTGTTTCACAATTGACATATATAATTATGTCTCGTGGAGAGGGAAATGTGTAGGCGTATACAAGTAACACTGATTAAGTACCTTTTTGCTTCGCTAGCCGTATTAAAATATGTTTTGTGTTTCTTAATAAGTTAACAATAAAATTGTTTGCAACTTCTCAAAACAAATATACATCTGAGGCAAGGCAAAAGATACAAGGTAAGAGGATTTTTTCTGACCTTCTTTTTTCCCTTCTACAAAGAGGCATATGTCTATGAGACATAGGCTTTCCCTAAACATTTTGGCATCCATCTGCAACTTTGCAGAAATTGAAGTGCAGTCAAGGAACTTTTCCTTTATGTTTAAAAAAATTTAAAGACATGTTGTTTTTCCTTCAAACTAATTATTTTAAAACAAATGGCTTTGAAGATATGCCTTTCTCTGTCTAAAAGAGAACATCTTCATTTTCTATTAAAATCTGCACAATTAACTTCTGGTACCGCATGTCATTCAGCGTAGCAAGGGTACTGTCCTCTGGAGGTCTCATTAAAGTAGGCCCAAACACTATTCCCAGGTTTTCAGCATTCATAAAATTCTCCTTTTCATGCAAGGTAACCCTAAAATAGAAAAAAAAAAAAAAAAAAAGAAAGAAAAGTAAGTAGTACAATGCAGCTACAGTGGGGCTGTGATTTCTGGTGCCTTTAAACACCCCTCATGGGACTCTTAAGTGGTTTTTCCACGTGGCTATCTGTTAGGGTAAAACAATTAGTGGCAACTGCTTTTTTTGAAAAGCATAATGATTTCCATGATGATGTGTGGAGCAGTGCCCTACGCTACAGAAACTACAGTTCTCTGGCATGTTGTGCTTAGTGTGCATCACACCGGAGGTGCGGGTGTGCTTCCCGAATACGAACCCAGATTTTCTTTTGATGACCAATGACCCCCATGCTCCCAGACATGCTGCCAGCCTGCAGGAACCCACCCCTTCACGTATTTCTGCCTTGCTGACTGCCTCGGGCCAACCAGCAGCTGAATGATTCTGATTACTTGTTATACTTTACTGGAGAGGCGGCTTGCTGAAGTCAGGCTGCTACCAATGCTATATGTATCCTTGGCAGAGAACAGAGGCGCTTCTAGGAAGGAGCCCAGGCTGTTTTGTTCCTGACATGGGTCATATAATGTAAATACAAGAACAGTACACTACGTGTGGCTGGAGCAAACAAAGACGACCAAGGACTGGCCAAGCTGCAGAGAAGTCAGGCCTGCTGTAAAATGCAAGGTGCGCTCAATGTTTTCCTCCAGGTAATAGAGCTGGATCACATCGGTGTTGTCCCAGCAAGCCTTTGGCATCTGAGTTTAGTCCTGAGAGTGCTTCTGCACTGCAGTATAGAGACAGCCATGGTCCCTTGATTGGTCACGGTCCCTCACGGACCGGACACTTGCTAAGTATAGCATGGGTGAAGTTTCACATCTCCACACACAACTCCTCTGCCGGGATGGAGCACATCTGGTTTTGGAGCCAGATCTCCTGGCAACAGCTGAGACCGCCCCTGGCCATGGCAACTCCCAGCAGGGAGCAGTGAATTCACTCATGCCACCAGGGAAGCACGAAGAGGCTGAAACCAGATGTAATCTGGTCTTCCCTTGTTTGCAAGGTCCTTATATGACTAAGTTTTGCTTCTACTGTTGGCACTCTGCAAACAGTGGCTCTGTCACAGAAAAACACTATTCCTCTTTGCTTTCAGGACAGAAGTCCGTCAGTACCCCTACTCACAGATAGATCCTCATCTTCTAGCACAGACATGTTAGCTGGGCTTTGCAAGGAGAAAAGACAAACAGAGACTGCCTAGCCTAAGCCACCTCTGTGCAAGTGTATGTGTAACACTCTGCTTTCCATCTGTGGATGTATGCAGCACAGACGGTGAACAGCTCTACAATGCCATGTACATCTTACTAGCACCTCTGTGCAGGAGTATGGGGCTTGCTGCGTGGCCTGGGGTGAACACGGAGAACATTCACAGCTTCACTGCAAGGTCAGCATGGATGGAGTTGTATGAACTTCACCACAGGGGGGACTGCTCATGCTATTGTATTTCCTCCAATTTTGAGCAAAAAGTTGTCAGAAAGGTAACTGAAGAAAAGGATTGATTAATTAATTGACTGACAAACTAATTTTTCGTCACTGACATTGTCCTCTGCTGGATTTTCCCGTGCTTTTAACAACTCAGTGCAGTTTCTTTTCTGTTGAGAAACAGCACTGGGGCAGAGGCTGTGATCCTGCAGTCTATACATAGACTCCTTGACACAGGCACATGTTTTCTCTGTGCAGGAAGAGCCCTATGGGGCTGGAGTTGGGACTTTACATTTAATCTGCAGAACAGCATAGCCTGAACCTAAAGGATCCTTCCCCCTTTTGCATTCAGATCTCTCCGACAGATTCTTCACATGCACTTGATTTCTGTGCAGATGCTGAAAGCTAAGATTTGGGAAATAAGAGGAAATTCATTGTGTGACTTGTTGGTATTTGAGAAGGAAGATTAATGAGCTGTTTGGACTATTTTTGTCTCATCAATAGTTCAGCTCAACAGCTGAACCAAAGCCTGTGCTGCAGTTCATGAAAAAGAAGGAAGGCAAGTCAATACTTGTCTATTAAAAACTTACTTCCAGGACATGAAAGTACTGATTCTGTATGCAGGTCACTTGTCTACAACCTTCACGGCCTTCTTGAAAGCCAACAAGGTTCATCCTACATTGTCCGTGCATATGTGCTGACAAGGATGGGTATTTGCACGTCTCATTTCTACAGAGTCCGAAGAAGCTCCTGCATGCCCAGGTAATGTCTCATCAAAAGGAAAAATTACTCAGTTGTAATGACCTGAGCCAATTCAAAATGAGGAAATGTCTCTGCATAATGAGAACCTGATTGAGCATGAAATGCACTTCACACAAGCTCTCTGATGCAATTTTATGTGAGTAGAGGTCTTCTTTTTAGGCTGGCATTAATAGCGCAGAATAGTGCAGATCAAACCCAGAAAATGCTCCAAACTTTCAACTGTGCTGCGAGCAGTGGGACAACTAAGAAGAGATCAAGGATTTGCTGTATAAAAGGTGAGTAGTTTTATTCCTCCCTTATCCCCTTTTCTCTTGTTTCCAAGTAGCACCATAAACTAACCAGAGACAAGGGACATCTTGGGCAATATGTCCTTAAAGGAAGGACTGCTTTGAGATGACAGTGCCAGTCTTTACTCAGCTTCAGTTTTTAAAAACTCATAAAGAAGACTTCCTGAGGCATGTAAATACCTGAAGTAGTAGAGTTATCATCGTTTTGAAAAACAGTTTTGCTTGAAATTAGTGAAAATGAGGAACCCTCTTTGGAGCACTTCATAATTTTTCTAGGCATCTAGCTGAAAACTTGGAAAACTCAGCAGTATGCTCCCAAGTCACTTTCAAAAATGAAATTTAGGCACTTTTGAAATTTTTATATGGCTTATGAAGCCTTATGTATGCCTAAAGGAGCTTTAGAAAGCAAATGAGGCAGAGTGTGTTTAAAACCACAAGAGATATAACCAGTAAGGGCCTGTAATGCTTTTACTAGTCATATAAAAATAGGCCCTGCTTGATTCTTGGCTTGACTGTGATGTGAGCAAACAATTCATAAGAGACAGCTCTTTCCTTTTAGGGCTATTGTTCAAGAAGACAAATCAGGAGGTAAGGGGAGGCAGAAGCAAAGCACGATCAAGTGACTTAATACAACCCATCTACATCTCTGAAGTACCTACCATTCTGGTATTTTTCAGACATTTGCCTCAGAGAAGTGTGACAAATCTCAATTAACTCTTCAAAGGTTTGCAATGATCTGCCAGCAAAGGATCTATACTATATATGTGCAGAGCTCACATGCATTTATAGAAACATAGCTTGTCTGCTTATTTGTAACATAATTGTTTTAGTGGCAGTGCCCTAATGGAAGCTTTATTGGTACTTTCTGTAATATCTCTCTTTCAAAGACGAAAATTGTTAAGCTCTTCAAGAATTATCCAGCATGCCAATTAACTCACTTTTTGAGATGAATCATTAGGTATCTAAGTGTCTCGTAGTGAGCAGCAGGGAGTAACATCAACACTTCGTGTATTGCTTCTAGTCGTTCATCAGGATTGGAGATTTCTGCAAAAACACCAAACAGGATTAATGTTAATAGGGCTTTCCATTTGTAAACAGCAATAATTCAGGAAGCTAACTTATTATTATGGAATCATTTACAAGTCATTGACTGTGCTTGGAGGGATAAATATTAAACTCATAAACATGGAGCTTATCAGCAACTTCTGCATCCTCAAAAATGACTTTACAAAGAAATCAGCAACAAAGACCACCCAATAGTTGTCTCTATGGTCTGTAGCTCTATCTACAGGCTTGTACAGGTACAATACCCAAGCTTCGTTAAGTGCTTCACAATACTCTGCCCAGAACTGACTTTAAAATCTTACATAAGATTACTTCCATTAGCCTTCAAAACCAGATGGGAGTGTGGATACATGCTTTTAGAGACTATGCTTGAATATGTAAGTTTAGCTAGAGATTGAAATGGCATGGCATTACATAAAGATTTCTGAACACATTTTAATATGTAGGTAGTGCTCACTTAAGACTGTTTGGCAATCTCTCTAAAAATCTGAGCAGGATTTACATGTATTTTACATGAAAAGTATAGATTCCTAAGCCGTAAACTGAGTCAGAGTTACATTAGCTGCATGACTTTTCAAACAAATGGCACCAGGAGCCCAAAATTTTAGAAGATTAAGAATCTCTGTGTCCTGCTCTTAAGAGATTGGTGTACCAACATGATAGGAGCTGCTTCCTCTGGGCATGTTCTTTATAGGACAAGTGATGAGTAAGAATAATTTCTCTACCAAGGAGGAAGAGGAGTGTACAGGAGAGAGGTATCTGTGGTTGCATGGGGAGTGCAAGGTAGGGTAAGCCACAGGGGAAGGGAAGGCAGCACATTCACACAGACAGACCAGTCTTCCTGCTGCTTATCATTATACTGAGTGCCATTTCAAAATTAGTAAGGATACTTTTTAAAGAAGACAGCATGCTACTTCTTAGATACCTCAGGTCTTCGAGATTTTTGGTAATAATCTGATTTTGATGCAATCCATCTGGATAGCTTTCATTAGGGTCTGTCATTACGTGGAAGGATATGCCCCGGAGAGCAGAATTTGAGGCAAATCTCAGCGCTCTCTGCCACCTTTATGGCAATGAATGCTGTTGTCCTCCTCCCTCCCTGACAGTGAGCACCCACGACCTGCCAGCTGCGGGTGGGGGGTAACTGCACGTGCCTCCCATCTGGACATGGGTTAGATCCTGCAGGACTTAATGAACAGTGGGTGCACCTCAACTGTGGGGCAGATGTGCTTTGTGGGGCGTCTCATTGCTCTCATCCCTTACTGACTGAAGGAGGGGATGTGCTTGTCTGCAGTGCAGATTTGTTGCCAAAACAGGCCAGGATATGGGAGATGAGGAAAATGGTGGGGAAATGGGATGAACTCTCACGGCTCACACTGTTCACTCAACCCTCACTGATCACTCAGTCTTGCATGTGTCTGGCAGCCAGTGCTGCGGCCGTGACACCAGCCCTGGGATCCTCCCAGTGCCAGATGTACTCCTTGCAATGGCACTGGACATTCTGCCTCTTTGCACAGAATTTGGGTCTTTTACAAGAAAAAGGCAAGCGATTCCATTCAAAACCCCATCCCAGAGCACGCTGTAGCTTCACTGACTGACTAAAACGACACTTTCTGAAACTGGTCAGTTATTTTTATATCCTACATTTACTTTTAATTTTTAACCTGCATGATGCCCCATCTGATTAACAATGATGCAAAAGTTTCATGTGAAAGAAGGACATGGCAGAGAAGTAATGACCAGAACAATGCCCTTTCTTCCAATCTGTTGTCTATCTTTTCTTTTTCTTTAATGGATGGGAAATGTAATTTAAGATCGGTACAAATTACTATGTAATACTTACTTGCTGCCTCTATGAACTTGGAATAGGTGTCATAGGTGATCACGGGAATTGGTAAGTCTCTGAAGTATAGTTTCAGTGCTCCAGCAATGATGTTAATGTCTGGATAAATACTGGCGGAAATATCAGCCTTGTCACCATCTAGAAGAGGAGGAAGAAATCTTTTTGAAACTAGGCTAATTTTGACTGAGGCAAGGCTAAGCTTCTAATTCAGATTTATTGTGTCCAACCTGACAAGAAAAAACAACCTGAAAGCATTTGGAAGGTTTAAATGAGAATATATTGCTACCAACTTTACAGGATATGAATAAGGAATGGTTTCTTTATCTTTTAGTAAACAATTTATTTGCTTAGATCTTTTGGAGAGGCTGGTGATTACATCAACAATATCTGCAGCATACCATCTCACACATAATGTTTTAATGTTGGATGAAAAATCATGTTAATAATATATTTATTGATTTCGACCCATTTATTCACTGAAAATAAGCTATTAATAACTCGTTCTGATATTGTATTTTGTATCCACAGATCAATGCACAGGAGTATGAACCATTCTTTTAATTTTCACTTGGGGAAACAGAGGCACAGAGAAATAACATAAATTTCTAGTGACCCTCAGGAGACCAGTAGGAAAAATCAGAGTAAACATCCAAATCTTCTAAGTCTTGCACCAATTTATCTATACTGATTAGCTAGTAAGAAAGCCGCCTTATTTTCTGCTTGTCCTCTAATGTCTTAATATTTGACTTACTTATAGCAAAGATTTGGATTTAAATAGACATGCTACAGCATTTAGCTATACAACTTATTCCGAAATGTGGCTCGCAATTTGTTAAACGAATACGGGTACTTGCAATGATGATGAACAGCTAAACAGACGAATTATGCAACTGAAATGACATACATTTTGTTTGCCACATATTCTCACGCAGTTAGTCAGAACTCTGTTACTGAGCACGTTTAATCACATGAGCTTAATATTTACAAGTGTTGCTGGTAAGCCCTTGACCAACACATGGCTTGCAACAAGTGAAATCACAAGAACAGGCAGTGAGGCTGGATCACTATTATTTTTCAAGCTCATGTGACTACATCTATTCTGTACTACCTAATACCCTCATACCCACATTCTTCTCCAGACTAAGAAATTCTGCTGTCCTCCCATCCTGGGAGGGGAGGTTGGTTGTCCGTGGTTGTCTTCCAGTCAAAAGATGGGGTAGGACACTGGTCTAGCAGGGGCTGAGGCTGTCTGGATTTAATCCCCAGCTTTACCTCCGGCTGCTTTGAGATCAGTTATACCCCGTAGTCCTTATTCCCCCACCTTTCATGTGAGGATAATAGCACTTCCCTCGCAGGAGGTGGTGAAGATTAGGAACATATGGTGAGTGAGGCAATGTGAGGTTATGCTTGTTTGAACAACGGAGAGGAGTTTGCTTGTATCTGCCAGGAGGTGCAAGAACAAGCTTGGGCTGTTACCACCGAGGTGCTGACATGCTGTAAAGCCATCGCCTTGCTTGTCTCACAATAACTAGTGCTTGCAGAAGTGCCCTGATACAGATGAGTGGGTGTGCTTGATACACGGCATCTAAGATGGTGATAAAGGCTTTCACATCAGAGTAAAAGAGTTTATATTGATTGTAGACATTTTAGACAAACCTATGGCATTAATCTTGAAGGGATACGTCCTGTCCAATGTATGCACATAATTCTCATTAAGACTAATAGCACTACATGTTCTCATCAAGAGGAGATTATATGCTTAAGTGTTTAAAACAAGCAGCCTTTCTTGATGCAGCTGAGCAGTCTGAATACATCCATCAGCATTTAATTTAATACAGCATCAATAAGCCCTAGGAGGATGTTTACACTGCCCCAATCTTTTGTTTAATCCACACGTTCCAGGCACAGTAGCATTAGTCTTGTAAAGCTTTGTGTGGAGAGCTCTATTTAATTGATGGACACCGAGCACTCAAAATGCTCCACGGAAAACAGATACCTCCAAGGAGCCAGCAGCTGCATCAGACCAGATACAGCAAAGCAGAAGGTTGCATCTATTATCCCAGTCACCAGTACACTAAATGGAAGTGTTATTTATTTAGTACTTTTACAAAGCAGCCCAGCAAGCTTCCTTAAAGGGGCACTTCAGCTAGAGGTACTTCAAACATACCTCTTATTTACATACTTGCTTACTGTTTTTCTCTTCACTTCAGAGACAAATGTACATGCATTGGAAATGCACTGAAGATGATTTTAAAGTGAGCATAACAATAAATCTCTTATAATATACCTACATATTTCTGCAGTGCGTATGTAGGGGAATGTGGATTTTTATTTTCCTTTGGTAGATTTTGGATTGCCTTTTTTTTTTCTCCCTTTCAGTTTCAGCAATTGAAGGCCCTTGGCAGGCTGCACCTACCGCTTATCCTCACCAAATTCCTGGATTTGTATTTTGATTTAAACACACTTAAAATTCAAAGCACTAAGAAAGAAAAGTTAACTCATTGGTGGTAAAGTCATGACATATATTTCACAGAGGATCCTCTGCAGTAGCACACTGTATGAACTGCATCTGTTTTACAAAGTACCTTCTGCATTACCACAATAATTTTTTTCATACTTTGGTAACTTTCCTCAGATTGTAATAAGTATTTTCAGTATCATGGCAGTGGCCATATGTTAATACAATCTTTTTTAAAATTTTGCATTACAAGCATAGAGTTCATTTCAGCTTTACCAATCTAATCCTACCCAAACCCTGTCATTTTTCTTTCTGTGTTACTTTGACTCTCAACATATTTTGTTGAATTATGTTGGAGTATCTAAAGACAAAGCAAGTCTTTATTCTATTCCTTAAAGGTTTCAACTGACTTTGGATGTCATAGAAATATATCAATAGTTTATTAGAGAATGAAATGGAGTAAGTATTACATTCTTAAAGCTTCAGCTATGCCCTCTGAATACTGAATTACATTTCTACTTAAGTTCCTTTTTCCTTAACACTTCGTTTTTATTGCACAACGCTCAGCATGCTAACATGCTGCTCTGTGCGGTTTTTTTGGATTTGGCATTTGACAGGTTTTCAGCTACACTGGCAAAAGAGTGAGTATGAGTTAGGATGCTGCTAAGTACTCATGTAATATTTAACAGCATAATATTTTTAGCAAGTGTATTGTACCAGCTAGTCATACAAACAAGTCGGGGGACAGAATGCACTGGTGACAATGGCAGCTCTGTGGATAAAGCGCACAATGAGGGTTTTCTGGATGCCACCAACGCCACAGCTCAACAATGCTGACAGAGAGCAACTGTCGTTCTACAGCACCAACATTCACCAGATTAAATAAATCCACATTATTCCTCTCCTTCTCATTACAAAAATCACTAAAATAGAACATTGTCAGCGCCTCAGAGAGCCTAATGCTAATTTACAGTAGGGGTATTTACACTGCTTTGGCTTTGGAAGGGAGTCTCAGTTCAAATCAGATGAGGACAAACTTCTCCCTGCTTTAAAACCAATTATTACAGCTTCATTGGCCCCAAATAATACGTGGGATGCCATTCTCTTCCTGAGATGTTAACTTTCAAACTCGCCTTTGCTTTTCTTGTTCTCTCTATAATTCTTTGGAAGCAACAAGTGAGTGTCCCTTTGGCAAGGCAGAATTAGTCAGAGGGAGGGCTGGCTTCTCTTCATCGCACCCCTTCAGCTGCACACGAAATCAGCGGGAGAGGTACCCTATGGCCGAGTCAGCCCCTGCACCTCGTCCCTGTACCATACCATCTTCTGGCTTCTGTGACTTGACGAAGAGCTTGGGAAACCAGAAAGCTTGATGGCATTACTTGAAGGATGAGTCCTGCACAGTAAAATGGGAGGACTCCTTGCTTGTTTATTTTCAAACCCATTTATTAAAAGCTGTATTTCCAGAGATGCAAAAACATACTGGCATTCTAGCCAGGTGCCTGGGGACTGACTCAGAAACGACAGGAAGGGAGGGACCTCTGTAATGCCAGAGTGCAGTACTCTGCTACTGCAGGCACTATGCCGTATAACCCTTCTTGTAAACCCCTCAATTTCCATTTTAAAACTAGTTAAGGTTTTTATCCCTGTTCTTACTAGAAGGTTGTTTCAGAGCCTTGCTTTCAGATGGTTAAAAAATGGTCTTTAAATTGTCAAACGGAAGTTATTCCTGGCCAGTGTACATTCTCTAGTATTGTGCCAAGATAATCCATTACATTAAGGAGTTCTCTTCTCTGGTTCATACCCCTGCTCTCAGCTTCTCATTTGACAGCTAACTATCCCAAGCTCTTTTAAAACACATTTACCTTCTGCTATGCAGCATGCTCCAGAGATGCCTGAGATAGTTATGTGGCCACAGATAATGGCTGTTTCTCCTGCAACACCTATCTATTAACCAGAACTGATCAGGAATTTTCCATTTTATATTTCAGACACAAATTTTCCTATGTATGTATTTTTTTACTTTTCCAAAAAATATGTTAATTTCCTGTAGTGAATGTGGAAACAACAGTTCTGTAAATTTCCCACAAACTTCACTTTCTGGGCAGAAAATGGAATTTGAACAAAACCTCCCAAGTGTTGCTGGAGGTGAGACCTGCCACCTGGCTCTCACTCAGCTCCCTTCTCTCCCAGCTCTGTCACCTGGGACAGAGCCCTGGGATATTCCACATCCTTGGGATAGTCCACTCCCTGCTGCTTTGGCTTCTAGGGCTAAGCAGCGGTCACTGGACAGCAGAAAAGTGATGTTCCTACCTGTGGGGTGGGATGCACAAGAGGGGGTGGGGTCCCTGTCTCTGCAAACTTGGATCTGAGAGGGAAACAAGCCCTGAGCTGTCATGTTGGAAGCATCTTGCCAACTAAACCTTCTGCCAGCTGACAACCACCTTCTAGCTCACAGCCCACAAGTTGGAACAAAAAGTCTATTTTGGTTTTCTTTAAATCCTTTCTTGCAAAAAAAACCCCAACTCCTTCTGCTTTTCCATCTCAGTTCAGGGAGAAAACATTTTCAAAACTGGAAAGTTTTGAAAGTTCTCAGTTTCTGGTCTCAGAAAGACTCTAGTCATGCAATTATCATAACAAGGTTTTGTTCACTGTTCTGCTGTCTTAGTGTTATTCATGGCAACACTCTCTCCTTTCTTAGCACTTTTCCCTCATGATATTGTTAAAATGAAGACACAGCTTTTTATCAATGGTTCTCCCCACAGCCTCTATATGCAAACTTGGTTCTTGCTTTCTCTACTTCCATGTTTATCCATGTATTTTCTTCTTCGGAATTCTGATACTGCTCATGACCTTCCTCTTCCTGTTTCTAGTAAATCAGACTTTCCTCCTTGCTGTGGGTCTAATTCAAGTGTGTATTGCCACCAGACACACTGTCTGTAAAACTGAACTGTTTCCAATGGTTTGAAGCATTTGCAAAGGAACTACAGCTGCAGCACTATTCAAGTCATGCTCAGACAAAAATTTCCACCTGTTTTCTTCAAACTCTTTCCTCTTCAACCAATGCTTCTCCTTCTGGGTTTCATTCAGGTTGGTACACTTAGAAGAGGATTAACACACAGAACAAAAAGGTTTGCCAGGCCAGATCTACCTGCAGGGAGCAGAGTGGGACCTACGGGGACTGTGACCCTCTCAGTAGCACTGCTTCATGTGGCACATACGCAACATGCATGTTCCTGTCCTGGTTTGGCTGGGACAGAATCACAGCCCAGCCATGCCAGGCAGGCCGTGAGCAGTTTGAGTCAGCCAGGGCAGCTGACCTGAGTGAGCTACAGGGGCAGCCCACACCATCATGTCATGGTCATTAGAGAGGGGGAAGGTTTGCTGAGGAAGGGGAACTCCTGTGAGGTTCCTGCTGGGGTTCTGGCTGGAGTCTGTCCTGCTTCTGAGGACTGCTCCCCTGCTGTGACTGCTGCGTGTTCATTTAGCTGAGTATAACTTTGTACACCTTTGTAGGTATTGGTGCTGTTTCATTAAATCTGTTTTCCCTTCAGTCCATGGGTCTCCTCTTCTCTTCCTGATTCCCCTTTCTGGCTGGTGAGGGGTTGTTGGGTGATAGAGCAGCTGTTATAGTTTAGCCCTAGATATGGGCTGAATATTGACATTTCCTATGATAGCAGTCATATCAGTGTGCATCTCTTTCACCCAAATCATAGCTGACCTATGTGTGTGTATATGTGCAGTTCACAACTGCAGCATCCAGCACATTTTAAAATATGTATTATTTTTTAAAGGATATTTTGGTATAGCATGAAAACAATCACTTTGGAAATTCCTAGTTGGACTTTCTTTGCCACTGACATCTGCGTGACAAGCTGTCTACAAACAAAAATATTTGGGCACAGTAAGTGTACAGTGTGCCATCTGTAGACACTGCTGGCTCTGCCCAGCCTCCCCTGGAGCCCCCACACCTCCTGCCCATGGGTCCCCAGTCCCTTCCTGAGAGACATGGTAGCACTCTCCAGCTGTGTTGTAGCTCTGCCTGGCCAGACACCCTTCCGGTCGGTACCCTGACCCTCAGGCTGACTTTCTGGCTTAACCTGGACCTGCCTCACCTCGTGGGCTTGCGATCACTGGACTGTGTCTCACCCTATTCTCTAACATGGCAGAGGTAATACCTGAAAAAATTAAGTAGGAAGGGAAACACTATGGGAAAGGAGAATAATATTTAGGTAACTTCTTAAATGTACTTGAAAATGCTGATGAAGGCCCTACTCTGCACCCACTTACATATATACTTAAATTTGTCCTCTGTGCAAAGACTATGTGCACAAACAAGCACCAACATAATCAGTTAAATCAATTCAGAAGGGCTACTAGGATGGTAATCAGGCAGTGTTTTCAATATGTTATACAACCCATCTCCACACTGCTCCTCTCATCTGTTGTGCAGATGCAATCGTGTGCACAGTGGTGAGGTGCTTTCTACATGCAGAATGACTTCCCGTTGGAAGGTTCTTAAATAGGTTATCATACTCTAAAGTACTGAGTCTAAAGATAAGACTAAGAACTCCCCCCTGGTACTATCTAGGCTTGTATTTGACCTAGGAGCCTAGGCTGTGCTGCTAGGTTGAGCAATCATCCAGTCCCTTGAGCACTTAGCCTTCTGCCTACCATTACTTACTGTTTAATTATTCCTTCCAACTATGAAAACCAATTTCTTATGAAAAGCACTACAGATTAATTGAAGAACTCAGAAAAGACAGCTGCTTTCTGTACTTCTGCTTATATGCCAGTCTCATGACCATGGCACCTATATAAACCTCAAAAGAACTGAAAAGTCCTAGAACTGAAAGCTTAGATTAAAACTGTACACAATTAAATAATGGTGTACCTCGATCAAAGGCCATTTTCACATCTTCAATGTGCTCAGTGAAGCCTGAGACTCTATAGAGGCCCTCGGACTTCAAACCTGAAACAAAAAGTTCTTGGTTAACTTTACTTCAGTAACCAACAAATATTCAGGCTTAAAAACAATAAAGAACAACAGATCTAGTAAGTGTAGCAAAATATTAATTGTAATGTGAAACTCTGGAGCATTTAAGGAAAGATCAAGATAGTTTTAAATTGTTTTGGAAAGGATTAAAGAATTTTAGAATTTATACTTTCTGATTTTGTTAGGTACACGGTTCATTATGTTAGAGGAAACTATTGCAATTTGCTAATGGTGGGGCATGTGATGGTATCATGATTTATTCATCTTATGTGGGAGATTTTCCTGGATTTGGCTGTAATTAATAAAGCTTTAGAGGTCTCCTTTCCTTTTACCAGTTGCTTAATGATAAATAGCAATGCAAGTGAGACACGGCGCTATAAGCACATTTGTTCCCAGTTTTTCTGTCAGCTTTTACGTATACACAGCCGATAGATGATATGGATACTGTTCTCCACATCAGTACATCCCTTCTCAGTTCTTTCACCACAAGAGACCTGCTCACTTGCACAACACTCCCCCCATTGCTCCACACCAACATGAAATGCAGGGCAGCCCGGCAGAGCAGATAGAGCTAGCCAAGCAGAGTTACACACATGGTATTTATTTTAATCCCAGAACCCTTTATTGTGACTACGCACAGTGCTAACCTACTTAGAAAATCCAATACACTTTGTTTTCTTAAGAATGAAATCAGTATCTTACATATTTCTATGGCAATTAAAGAAAGAAATGTAAAGATGTTGGAAAAACAGAGAGCAGGCAGCAGATTTTATCTTAATCAACAAATGTACAAGTGAGTGATTAGATCTCAAATGCAACATAGCTTCCTGCTATATCATTGGAGAAAGCTCTTCTGTCTTAGTCCGAACTATTCATTCTATTTGTCCCTGCAATGATGATATAATCCTGGTAGAGCTTCATGAAGCAGTGCAGGGGATTTACTTGTAAATCTTTGACTCATTTCAGTAGATGATGTGTGGCTTTGAAATCCCTATGGCTAGTATCAGTGAGTTGCCATGCAGATTACTGGGATGCCATGAATTCAACATTATGAGATTCCTGTGCTGAGCTATGACTAACAGGGAAATTTGGCTTATTGGGCAGCGCGACATACGCATTTTCTATCCAAAGCAAAAACACGGGATCATTACTGTGTTGTGTTGGAGGCGATATGGTAGTTCTTCAATTTGGCACGTGTCTGCATACCAAAAACCTGTCACAAGCTGGAGTTTTGGCTGTGACATGCTGCCTGAGCCACAGTATCCATCAGTCAGTAGCTGAGCATCACGCAAAACCCTGTGCAGTTTGTGAGCTACCACAAAACGCCACAGCCTGTGATCTCACTTGTTTGAGTCACTTCCAGTCATTTGTGTTCTCTTGCGCATAATGTCCGGAAAGGTTATTAAAAAGGATTTGATTTAAACTGATTACTCTGAAATCGGAAGTATTCCTAGGTATGTTAAAAGAAAATAATGAAAAAAGACACATAAACATGAACTTAAAGTTCACTTTAAAGTTCACCTCTTTCAGAAGTGTAACGTAATACATGTTTTGACATGTTTTCAGAAAGCATTTCAGGAAATTGCATTATGAAATGCCATAACTTAATTTTACTAGTTAATGCAAAGCAATGTATCACCTACACTAAAAACACCCTTCTCTCATCCTGTCTTTGGTGTGCATGAGCATACTACCCTGTCCTAGCTTAGCATGGAATTCAAGTCATTGTCATTCAATTGTGTCTGCTGCTTTCCTAAGTACACAAACCTCTTGCTTCGATCTCTCGAATGCATGAATCCACAACCATCGGCCTCTGGGTATTGTGGGCTTTCACTAGAGTGGTGAGATCGCAGCAGTAGACTCGCTTTATCCTCTTGAGGTCTGGTTGGCAGTCGTTGGGCACGTATTTGGAACACTGCTTATGTACGTTCAACCCGCAGTCTGTAAACAAATTTAGACAGGTTAATTAATTAATACTAACACCGATAGGTCTTGTCTAACCATTTATTTCCTTTGGCCACATCAAGCAATAGGCATAACTTCCCCACCAGTCAGCAAAACTAGAATAAACAAGACAGAGATGAGAAAGATAAGCATGGAAATACATAAAAAACTTATGGTGGGCAAAGTGAACCCCAAAAAAGTTGTTAAAGAGCTATGAAAGCTCTGGATGTCCCTCAAATCCCTCTGAGCTGGAGGTGACTGTTGGTGTGGTCTGGATCAGTTCACTGCTGAACGCGTGGCTCTAGGTGTTGCACATGAATGTGTGAGACTTATCTTCTGTGTAATTTAGTTTAGCCTTTTATAAAATTAGTACAGTAATGAGTGTCTTCTGCTGGCCAGCTTGTGGCTTGGTGCTGCTAATGGGCAAAGGACCTAAGATTCAGCTGAGCATGCAAATTGGGACAGTGCTTTGAGCTAGCGTGCCTCCTTTCCACATTCTTGCAGTGCCGCATTTTGGCTCGCTCTGCCACACCAGCAGCCTCCCCATCCCTGTCTTGTAACTTCACTGGTGACTAAAGTGTCCCCTTTGTTTAGTCTGTAGGTCAGTTTAGGCATATAAAATGCTGTCAGAAGCATGATGTATAAAAGTAATTCATTTTGTAAATGGTTCTTGGTGTCTTAACTCCAGCGTAAAATCCTACTCTTGGTTGCACGGGTGGGTTTCTATTAACTTAAACATCACTGCTTGATCTCCACAAATTCAATTTTTTTAATAGATTCAAATATTCAGCCAAATGAATTTATAAGCCTCAGTAAAGCAAACACCACCATCGTGAATTACATTATCTCACATAACTCTGATTCCTGTTGTAATGCCTTCCCAGTCATGCCCATCACTGATGGTACTCTTTGGGATAATTTAACGTGTCCAATATCTTCACTAGCAAGTTACTTACTGTTTTTTCATGTTGATTTACTGCTATTAAAAATGTAAACATGACTCTATTACTTGCAGCACATTTCAGTATTATTCTCTATAAAATATTAATCAAGCAAAACCATATAATCACTACAAACATACCTACACATTTAATGGAATCGGGTGGGGTTTTGTGTGTTTCTCCATACAGTTATTACTGCATAATACATTATTGTTTTGCAAAATCTAAACAAATGTGAGCAGCTGCAGTTAGGATCCTCCCTGTATTGTTTTCAGTGCTGTTCTCCAAGGATGTGAAGTTAAATCCAAATTGATCTGTCTATTTAGAGTTAAATGTTGGTAATTTAGTGAGGGAGAGTATTATGTTTCATACTAAATAAATAAGTCTTTTCATAAGTTTAATATTTTATGTGAACAAATACAGCGCTATGCATTAGTGAGGTTAGTTTTTGCACACTTGTATTTAAGATCAAACAGCTTGAAAAACAAACTACTATTCATTTTCCTCTTTTTTAATGTCCTTCTCGGATTCTTTGTGTTACCATTATTCACCTTCAGGCAGACAAGATGTAGCAGCACCTGACACTGCACTTATTAAAACTGTGCATCTGTGAAAGGTATTTTGATCCTTCAAACTGCGGCCTAAATTTTAGGTAACAACTACCTCCTCTACCCATGAAAGGCACATGTCAGGGTCCGATGTGTTCGATGCCAGTCTGAGATGGTGAATGCCCGGAGGTCAGTGCAGGGAGAGTTAAGACAGAATATTCAGGTGAGACATGGAAGGGATTGAAAGTGCGTAGAAAGAAGTTATGAAACTCCATTTGCAACATATCAAATACTATTTCACTTGCTGAATCCAAAAGCTCATGATGTGACGATCACTGCATTTTTCCAAGATGATTATTTTTCACAAAAGAACAAACAAATTTAAAATAATTATAGCACCATTAAAATCCTAATACAGTCATAGAGGCACCAGAAAATGAATGCTACTTCAGGCTTGCAGCCACACATGGTATTTTTATAGGAAACAGGTGACAGACTTTTTGCAGACAAGGGCACTTCGCATCAATTGCTGGTAAAAAGATGAGTTATGAAGCCTAGTTGCTGGCTGGCTCTGCCATTTCCAGGGCATGTTTCTTAAGACACAAAAACATTCAGGGATAACTTAACGATAAAGATCAATTCTTAATGTATGCACCAAGGCACACACATGACCAAGGCACAACCAAAAGGATGTCACGCTCAGTGACCAAGGGCTGGTGGCTTCATTTCTAAACCAGCTAATGGGGAAAATGACAACGCTCTAACTTGCGCAGGAGGGTTTCTTGCCTTGTTCTTTAAAGTAATCCCTACCCTCACTCCTGCAGGGAGTGCAGGCTGAGGGTGGGAGAGTTGTCTGAGCATTTCAAGAGAATGACAGAAAATGTTGAAGGGCTACCTGAACACCTCACTCCCTGAGCGATGAGACCCCACATGAAGTTGGCGCAGTATTCACACCAGTGCGGACCTCGAAACGTATGGACCTGTAATACAAATGGGGGAAAAAAAAAAGAAATGGGGTCATTGGGAGGCAGATGGTCTGACAGATGGAACAACTGAAATGGATAAACAACAGAAGACTCAGTAGGAGTAAATCTTTAGCACACAGTGCCCACATCTTTCCAAAGTCTAGATGAAACAAACCATGGGGACAGAAATGTGCTTTGATCTTAAAGTTCATCTTTCAATAGGCTTAACGTAACAGAGAATCGGGCTGTGTACGATGCTGAAACACAGTAATTTCTGCTAGCTGACATTTTAGCTATAGCAGAGGGGACAAAACCAGGTTCACTAGTCAGAAGAGAAAAAAGTAAAACTAATAATCCAAGAAACTGTAGTCAGTGCTTTTATTTGACTAGTTCAAACAAAACAGGAATGTTTCTGAGATTCAAATGCTTTTCAGTGACAGAAAGTCCCTTCGAATGCACCACATTTTGGTTCCCCATAACTGTGTGTGACCATAGATCTGGTGCAAGACCCATGTTCTAAAAGCACCACTCAGGTTTGAACGCACTATGACTATAGCGTTATATGTTCCATGCAACAACACTGAACAAAACTTGAGGTGACTGCTGTAAATTTGTATCAGGGATGAATGATTTGCGTAGCCACTCCAGGCAGCAGCTGGGTAATGATCTGATTTTGCACACTGGAATCCATTAATGATAAAAGCAAACGACACCCTTCCCCACTCTAGTAAGTAAACTGAACTCATATAGGGAGGCTCTTTTTTCCATAGACCAAACCTCATTTTGCTATAATGCACACATGAGTAAATAAGGAGGAATAAAATGACCTGGGTGCTGACAGAGCCCACGGCTCCCCAGCCAGCTTTTGCACACCACCGCTGCAGCTTCCTCCACTGCTTTTCCAAAGGCTACGGTGGAAGACCTTTTTATTTAAGATGTATGTTCTGGTAAAGTAAGCATTTCATTTTCATTGAAAAGAAGAGTAAATAGTGAGGTCTACACCCGTGTGAATGGACATGGTATGAGCTAGTTCTGGTCAGAGACTTAATTGAGCTTAACAAAACATAAATCATGCACACTCTGGCTGCTAATGCTTCCTTCTCCTCTCTCTGCTCTTGTTTACCCATCGGGTGGATGGCTGAAAAGGCCACTTCCACCCCCTGGGATGGAGAAAGCTGCTCTTTTCATAGAGTAAAAAAATGGTCATTGCCCTTTTCAGATAAACTTTGTGAAGTTTTTAAGCCAAGCATCCGGCTTGCTAATGTTTTCGCCCCATTTGTCTGCAGGCTCACACCTAAACAAGCCTGTACTCTTGAGTCCATTCCCCAGAAAGATGAAGTATTGTGATTTTAATACAGACCTCTCTTTCTGATTTAGTGACAAAAATGTGAGCCTGAGCACAAATGACTCCTGACCAACTACTCACAGTCAATAATTGCATGAATAAGCTTAAAGCAACAGTAATTCTTCCTCCCTTTTGATAGTAAAAGGTCAAAACTGGAATGTCTGACTAGTCATATTTATTTTTTGAAATGATATTTTACCTCTCAGAAAAACGCATATCTCTGGGAAACAACACTTTGCAATAAAGTTTGAGATGGATAGATTGAAAGATACATCCCATACTTCTGTCTCATTTAATCTTATTTTAATTTGCAGGGTGGGTAGCATGAATTTCAGACATGGCTGAGTTTCAGGCATATGATCTATATGACCTTCAGTGAATATAAAACTACGGATACAACTAATTCTGCCTGTATCTTTACCATTTTTAGACTTATCACCACGTAATCAGTAGGTCTGCACCTGCGTTTAACTGTGGGTGAAAATCATCCACTGTAGGAAGATAGCTAACTACATCTTCTGCTTCTCAGTGGTTTACAAAAGCTAACCTCGTGAGAAGTGGCTGTAAAAGCTCATTCAGGATTTTTAAAACTGCAGCATTTCACATTTGAAGTCCATCACTGTTGCTAGGGTATTTGGAGCCTACTTGCTCACTTTACATGAAGCTTATTTCAGCTGATCTCTCTGTGGCATATTTAGAAAATGGTAGCTGATTATTCCTTGATCTCTCCTGTCATTAATAGGAAACAGTCATCAATGCTGACGGAGGGCTCCATCTGGGAAGTGCTGACTGTGCAACCTTCTTTTGTTCCCTTCAGCCTGGTGGCCCTCAAAGGTTTAGCTCTCTTTATTCATTCACTTCAGTTTTTCACGGATCTGCATTTTAGCTCAAATGGGAAGTTCCCAGCTGAAATGCCCTGAGAAAAGCAAGTCTTGGTGGTTTTCTAACCAAGCTGAAACAGGGAAATACGATCTCGAACTGAAAAAGGAAGATCATCAAAAGTTCCTACATGAAGGTGGAAAGAATCTCTTAAGATGCAGTTCTGAACTAAGTCTCTTATGGCTTGCCACTAATTTTAAAGAAATGATGATGGAAGTCTGTTCTAATGAACACAATGCTCGAACACAGCCTGAAGCTTGCACACAACACTTTTGAATGGTAAATGAGAATTCTGTCTGAAAGATTGGCCTCATCTCTGTTTTAAACAAAGGAGAGGTAACAGCCGGTCTTAGGTTTTTGAGATGAACTTTTAGGTTTGCCCCATCCTTTCTAACCGCATCATTACAAATGGCCTGGGTTTAGATTTTTGGAAACATGATCAAGATCTATTTAGCATCGGCCCCTACCCCGTCCTGCAGTCTTAGGAGACCTCTCTTTGTATACACAGCATAGGCTTGGACTGCTTGGGCTACAGTTGACACATAATTACAACTTTCAAGAAGAACTTACAGGGAAGCATTTCTTCATATAAGCCAAACCCATGATGTTTCAGACTATACACTGTGCTCTTCTTGTGCAGTCTTTCACCTTCCTTCCATAATGTCTAACTCCTAACTTCTTCACTCTATTTCCTTTCCAGCTCTTTCAATGAAAAGTTATTTCTTACATTCATCCTCTCTTCTCTGGTAGACGATCTCACCGACTACTAGACTGCGTGTCTCTTCTTACTGCCTTCCTGTGCACTCACCTTCGCCCTTCAGCCCTCTGGTGCCCTTGCTTCCAAATGGCAGAATTTCCCCTGTGGGTGCTCTCTCCTGCAGTTTTAGTCTGTGTCTGAGCCGTGTTCACAGAGGAAGCAGCTAAGACCAAAGTTAAGGATTGCCAATACAGTGGCAAAACAAAATAATCCCTTAGGCAATATTGCAGTAACATACTAAAAATTGGCTTGAATTGAAACGCATGTTTTTTATTGGCATTATATTGTGCTGTTTCTGAGACATTTTTTTTGTTTATCTGACTGGGTTTGAAGACTTTTCTGTTTGCATCCAAAGAAAATACGAGATTTTTCAGACTTTCGCCTGAATACATGTGCATTTGTACTCTCCTGTGGACTCCTGCTGCACCAAAAAAAAATCTTTGCAGGGAAGAAAAGCTGACTCTGCTGTTATTTTTGTTTAAATACATACACATAATCTTCATGATGTCTGTAAAAAATGCCTCCCCCAAACCCTTTATCTCACAGAAGCGGTGTTTGTCTGCAGTGATTAACACAAGGGGAAATTTATCCCAGAGCCTTCTTTTTCCCAGCAGATCTTCTGACTTGTCAGTAATCAGCTGCCTCTACTCCACTAGCCCACTGACAATTGGGATTTGCCCGTGCTATAGTGGCAAACAGGCACCATATTGTGGTAAATGCACATTATTCAGCTGTATCCGCTCACTTAAAGCAGCACAGAGGCCCTCTCATGAATTCCCAGCCTAGAACAGAATGCGCGGAGCAACCCCTAACTCGACACTGCTGCCCTTGGGGTGACCTCACCACCAGCTGGGACCCCACTGAAGTTGGCAGGTAAAGCACATCCCAAAACAGCCTGCTGGATCCTAACTGTAACAAGATGCAAGAGGACTTTGTGATCCAGTTAGGCTGACGCCCACATAGTTACAGAAATACCTCTGTGTTTTTCTAAACAGGGTTTCAGAGATTTATTCTCGTTCCTGAATTACGGTATGTCTACACTGGCTTATGCAAAGTTGTCCCGCCAGAGAGACGCCAGCTTCAAACCTAAATCCATGTGACTGTGTTGTGTGCTCAGGATGAAGCCAGCTTAACAAATCAGCCTGGATCCTAAATCTTTTTTTGTTCATTTGCCTTCAGTGTCTTGAAATTTGGAAGAGAGGCTGAAGGAGAAAGCACGGATGCTCAGAATGGCATAACCTGGCACCCTCACTCTCCGAACTCCAGCACTTCTTTTTAATTTCTGTGTCTCCGAAACGATGGAGAAGATCCATGCTTGCTCTGAATTTGTGCCTTGAGTCTGTTTCTTCCTTTTGTTCCTTCTCTCTTCTAGTAGATAAGAGCTTTGGTGTAAGATCTATAAAAATCTCATCAGCTTTGCTAAAAGTGTGTCCTTCATTTTTAAGATTCTTCATGGCTAAAGGACAAGAGCTGAATGGTGTCTGTTTGTTCATTAAGAATTGCCTGTTACAAGATTATGATCGACACTGTGACACATAACCTTTGTCCCTATGAACTGAGATGAATGATACATGTCAGTATTCACTTAAAAACGGGGAAGACAACTCTTTGAATGTCTGAGAAATAGCCTTCACCTTCAGATAAATCCTGTATCATCATAGCCTGAGTGCTGTCAAAGCCATTGAGAATTTTGCCCCAAGACCCATAAAGGCATTCTTTCTCTTTTAAATAATTTCTTAACCCTTTTATGTAATGAATATGGAATATATTAAAGATACTAGTCTTTAGCTGTCTTTTAAATCTAAATATTCTACTCTAAGCATTCTATCCACATTTTTTGTTCAACCAGACACGCTTTAACATACTCCTTTGGAAAACTAACTGTATTTGCATAGTGAACATATTTGTTCATTAAGTAAATGTAACACATTTGACTGGCCTTTCTGGACAATTTTTTTTTAAAATCTTTCTTCAGTAAGTTTTTTATTGTCTTTACTAGGATAAAACAATAATTTTCTGCTGTCAAGCTTTTGAATACATATATATTTTAATCATGTGATTTTCCAGTTAAACTATGACTCTTTTGAAACAGAAAGGAACAGAGACTGTACAACAGCTAGATTGTGCAAACGCAAAGTTAACTGGGCACATGTCCAATTATAAATCAAAGCCAAAACAAGGGCAATTTTGAAGAGGAAAGAATGCATGGGTCAAAGTGGAAAAAAGTCTCAGTCATGAGAAAATATTTTCTAGTTAAACTAAAATAGTTTTGATATTAAAATGATAATGAGGGCAAAACACAGAAAGAATGAAAGCTGGTTTAATCAAGCAAGAAAATAAAGTATTTCCCCCATTTCCTTCAGTGCTGATCAGTGAGATAAATATTGACTTTTCTGTAGACTGGGTCAAGGAGGGGGAATGAGAAGAGGGATGCTATTATTTGCTTTGTTCACTAATATTAAATTATCGATTTACCAACTACAGCAGAAGCACTGCAGAGGAAAGCAATGTCTGCATGGCAGAATACGTAGAAAAATAAGAAGTGAAGCTTTTTTGTTAAACCAGGAAATCAGTGAAATCATTTTAATTAGTACTTCTCCTTTTTTGACAGGCCTGAGATGAATATCAGAAAATTCCCTTTCTGCTTATGAGTTGAACTATTCTGACAGTGACCCAGACCAGCATCCTCAAGGAGCATTAAGTAAACTGAGGTTTCAAAGCTGAGATGCATTCCTTTCTTGTCTTGTTACTGACTCTTATTCTCTCTGTATCCATCCCGATAAGCATCAAACCGCAATTTGACAGCATTAGATACGGTAACTGGCTGGCATACTGCAAAACCAGCACAGTCCTTTTGGCAAAACGTTTTAGTACAAGCTGCCTGGAAGGTCCGTTTCCCAAGCTGAGTCACTTCCCTGCTGCAGCATGCCAGACACAGCACTTGGGGGAAAAAAACCCCTTAGAATCTGATACTGGATGCATAAGACAGCAAAACGATGATCCATTTAAACATCCCTGTGTTTGTCCAGCTATTTGGTTTAGTTTGATGAGCAAACACTAGCTCAGAACCGATAGCTCAATGGGATTCTCAGAGCATTTCCTTAGCATATGGTGGTGGAACAAAAGCTAGGAGACAATACCACCTCTGTGCTCTGCTTTATTGTTAGGGAGTACCCGAGCTCCCTCAACTTCTGAAAACAGAAATGGTCCAAAATGTTTGCTGGTAAAATGCTACTGGCTTCTCATAATAGCTAGATTTTGAAAAGAGGCCTTTTTCTCATTTAAAAATGGGTATGCTTTAAGATAAAGATAATCAATATGAAGTACTTTGTTTCTGAACAAAAAAGAAAGCTGAATCTGGGCAAAAAGAGCTAAAATGTCAGTGAAGTAGTGTAGTGAGCAGCAAAACCATTATTTGGATAGGTGCCTATGTAAAAGCATATTAAGAATGCAGTCAAGGGAACTTAAAGTAGAAAAAAAATCCTTTTTTCAACACTTTTCTCACAGCTAGTATAGATGGGTGCAGGAAAACCCCATCACAGCAAAAAATAAAATATGATGCAACTAAACAGAACTTTTTAGCCAAAAATAATAGGAAGTTGTACTTACCTTAAAATTGTGTGCTTTTTCATAGTTGAAGTGGTTGTCGTTTTGAGTTAAGGCTGCTCTTCTGACCAAGGAGGTGATCTGTGAATAGGCAAAGAGTTTCAGAGGTTGCCACAAAAGTGCCCCCTTGACTCCCACCTTCACCCCCAGGGCCACAGCCAGGAGCTCTTGGCGTTTCCTTCCTCGCTTTGACTTGTGAACAACGGCACAGTTTTTCTCATTTTCCAGCCACAGATCCTCCGAGAACATAGCGCTGGGGTCCCAAATCTTTTCCCTGTCTTCCTTGGCGCCCGGGAGCCTGACTGTAGTCAGTACAGTACAGTTTGTCCAACTGCTTCTGATGTTAGACAGCAGATTTGAAGCAGCTGCAGCCCATTCTGCTGAGACCTCTGGCATGTGACTTGAATGGGCCGTCTTGTGGGACGGAAGGAGCTTCTGCATCTGAATAAGTAACGGCCTGTGCCGTGCGATTTCTTAAGGCAGATGTGTGCCTCGAACAATAGCCCGAATTCATACACTGAGCAACCTCCCCCCCTCACCCTCCCCAAGCGGTGGTCCCCAGCTAGGTGCTGCCAAAATACCGGCTAGGGGGGAACAGCGTTACAGCTTCACACCCAAAGGCATTTCCAGGGACAGATTGCTTCAACTCCACAGCATGTTAAAAATGAACAAACAAACAAAAAGCCCCAGGGAAGCCCACACAACTGAATCCGGTGCTGCATCCAATTACACTCAGACTCAGAGACTTATCAGCCAGCAGCCTGCATGCCAGCAGATTAAGCTCTTAAAACCATGATGATTGTTTAATCTTACAGGGCTAAAAATCTCATATCCTGTACAAGGGAAAAAAAAATCCAGCAATACTCCAAGCATTAATAGCACTTTTAGGCCATGTTTTAAACTAGAGCATTTTGTTAGTGTGCCCTTGGTAGCGTGGAGCTAGCTCACTGTCAGGGAACGCTGAAAGCCCAGCTGGGATGATGCAGGCTAGGAAGCCCCCGAGCCCTGTGCAGCGTGTGAGTGAAGGTGGCAAGGGAGCTTCACACGGCTGTAGGAAGCCCGTGCACACAGCCCTGTTTGCAGACAGGGTCTGCAAGGCAGCAAAAGCAGTTGTTTTTTGCTCTGGTTACGCTCTTCTATAGATTTGGGGGGAAGAACTGCTTTCTAGCTAAAGCCGAGGGACAGGAGGGATCTGGACTCTGACCAGTCTGCGCTACAGCTTGGAATGTTGCTTTGGGCACCTGAATCACTTATTTACGGGCAGGTAGCTCCCTGTCCCAGGACACAGATGTGTGACACTGAGAATCCCCTGGGAAGCATGTTCAGTGCCACCTCCCCACCTGCTTCCCTCCCTCCAGCTCCCCTCTCCTGCTCCCTTAGTGAGTATGCCCATTCTCCACCCATAAGAGGAGGACAGGAGTTACCTGCTCAGCAGAGTACTGTGAGATTTAATTCTCTAAGGTGTGTCTAACGCTCAAGATGCTGAGACAGAGCAAACTGGGGGGGTTACCAGCACTACTGGGAAAACTGACTCTTTGAACTAGAGACACTAAAGACCACATCAGCCTTTTATAGCCTGCCCCACTTCAACTTACCCAGCAAATACGTGAAATGAAAGTATTTAATTTACTTATGTTAACTTGTGAAGTTGAACTTGCCTCTATTTTTTCAGTCTGCTTTTACCTCAGGCTGAAAATCAGAAGGTTCATCTAATTTACTTACTAAAACCTCCGTCCACCATACAGACTGCCTGCTCTCAGTAAAAGTGATGCTCTCCTGATTTGAAAGCCCACGGGGACAGATGGTCGGCCATCAGTAACATCAGGCCATGCAATTTCAGATAGTGCCCTACTTAGGGTTTTCAAGAAGTTGTGCAACCTGCAAAATCAGCTTCTCAGTTATAAAATGATGCACTTCTGTGTATAGCATACTTAATTCCTTTCTTTTCCAGGTAACCCACAGCACCTCTTTTTACACGGCTGCATACTCCAAAGCTTCTGCTCCCAGGTAGGGAGTATTTCCACACGACCACATTGCTCCCCAAGCAGTTGCTGCCCGCCCAGCCTTTCCCCAGGGCTCGGCACTGTTACCTGACCACCAGTGACAACCGTCTGTGATGCATGCATGAACACTGCTCTGCCTGGAGGAAATCCCTGCTGCTCTTCCGTATGTCCTCCTGCTAGTGAATCCCGATTTCTGCCAGCTCAGGACCTTTATCTGCTTTCCAGCAGATGAAGTCAGACTATAGGGCCCCAGCTCTCTCTCAATGTATTTCACGAGACGAGGAGCAATGGTTTTACAGACATCTCTGACCCCATCAGCAGCAATGGCTTCAGTTTGGCCATCATGAAGGAAACTTTGGAGCAGCCCAAAGTTCTTATCACACTCCAGTTTCCTTCCTCAGTACCATTTTGAATGTATTTACATTTATCTGGAACAACCCCTCCCCAACTAGCTCTGAGTTGTTAGACACCTCTGAAGCTACAGCATCTAAATCCCCATATATACATAAACTACTTTCTCTCTGACTTTCAGCATAACAGATCCAAAGTCAGAGAGAGGTCGGTTTCCTAGTAATGCTCTAATATTTGTATTTATGTCACTAGACTGATAAAAATCCCATTATATAACCAATATTTTTTACATAACATGGCAGATTTGATAATCAAAGCTACAGGCTTATGATGATACATCTTGGAATTTCTATCTATTAAACTATTTTTGGAATTGTCATCCTGGGATCAGACATACACTACTGTATTTAATGGAAACTCTGAGTGTTCACACAGAAGCATTAAACTTAATAGACTTGGAGGAGAAGAACTCAGCCAAACCAGTTCATATGACTAAGGCAGATCAGTATTTACTGTTTATCATATATGAAATTTTATTTATCCCCTAGGTTGCTTTTTCTGCCTTGCTTGGGCCCTGTTTAGACAGTTGTTTAATGGGCTCCCTTGCAAACACATGATGTGTACAGAAGGCCACCAGTGAGTGCATCTTCTTACGAAGCTTAATCATACAAAGCCCTACCAGGTTCGGTGTCTAAAATGGTGCTGTAAAACTAAGATGAGCTAGACCACGTATATAACCCCTTCCCTCTCTAAATACAATGCAAAGAGCAACCACGACAAATTCTCAGCAGAAACCAGTTCCAACGTACTGATACCACAGGCCAACCCCCGTGCTCTCTTTTATCCATTTTCTTTTTTCTTAATACAAAATTTATTGCACATGGTGTCAGCTCCTTTAAAGAGCATCTCTTGATCAAGTTAGCAAGTTAGCCTGCAGCTAAGGAAGAGAACACCAGTGGCTAAAAATATTATTGCTGGTTGTCACCAAATGTCTAAGCTACTGAAGGCTGAAAGGCAAATATGGGTTGTCTGCGATTTCAGACCAAAGGATTTCTGCATAACATATGATTTTAGTTGACTAGGCTCTCTGTAAAACACATGTACTGTAGAGTAAATTGGGCATTTACAGCAAAACAAATGTCACCGAACCAGAATAATAAAATTAAAAGGGGAGGGGGAGGGAGAAGAGGGCGACTCAGCTGTTGCGCCATTTCCAGCATGCCTTCGCAGAGCGAGCTGAGCCACACCATTGTCTCTCTCCTCAAACACTGGTGTCTTGTTTGCTAACAGAGGCCTTAGGGGTAGGAGAGAACAAATTGTAGAATGAAAAGCTTTTGGTTTTGTACACGTGGCATGATTTCTGTTGTAGTCGTGTGGGCAGCGCTGAGGACTCACTGGAAGCAAGCGGCAGGGGAACTTCGCGTGCTGCCCAGCTCCTCCATGCAGCTCCAGCGTGGTGGGAAGAGACGCTGCGGGAGCAACGGCTCC